CGCGCTGCCTGAGCGCGCTGCGCCTGGAGGGCCCGCAGGCGGGGCTGCGGCTGCGGGCCCTGCCCAGGGCCGAGCTGGGCTCCCCGTGCGCAGGGGGAAGAAGCGGCCTCGGCCGCGCCCGCGGCTCCTCCCGCGACCGCGGCCCTGCTGGCGGCTCGGCGAGGGCGAGTGGGCTCCGCCGCTCCCGCGCCTCGCCTCCTCGGGTCAGGCTTGGCGCTCGCCCCGGCCCCTGCCGCCGAGCCCGCCGCGGCTCTTCGCGTCCAGCAACCTCCTGCGCAGCATCGCCGCTCGCCGCGCCAGGTCCTGCTCGCCCATCGAGGCCAGCGAGGGCCGCGCGTCCGGCACGATCTCCAGCTCGCTCGCCACCTGCCAGCTCGCGTCGGACAGCGACAGCTCCAGAGCCTTGAAGCGCTGCATCAACACGTCGCTCAACTCCGCCAGGCATCCACTCTCCAGCAAGTCCAGCGCGGTCGCCAGCGTCTGCAGCTCCCGCTGAGTGTTGACGCGCATCTGCCCCGGAGGGTGATGGCCGAACACCACGGCCTGCAAGTATCCCACGACCTTCGCTCGAACCTCTGAGCCGTCCGCCCCCTCCCGCAGACCCATGACGCGCCCGATGTTCTTCATCGCCTCGTCGTGCAGGGCACCTGGGCGCTTCTCCGCCAGCAGCCGTGCGCTGCCGCCGCGGGAGGGGGCCTCGCGAAAACGCGACTCACCGTCGTCGTCGCTGCGCGAGCCCGAGGAGCTCCGGGGGCGGCGTCGGCCGCGACCGCCAGCGGCGCGGCCAGGCGTCGCCGCTGCAGCCTGCGCGCGCGCCGCGGCAGCTGCCGCCAGGCGGTCGGGGGCCGGGCCCCCGACTGGGGCGGCGCCCGCCAAGGCCCCGCCGCCGCCGCGCCCACCGAAGGCGCTCGGCCGCACCCATGGCTCCACGAACCCGCGGTTCGAGCGCAGCCGCAGCCACTCGACGTGCAGGACTCCTCGACCTGGCAGGGCGGGCTCCCCGCACAGCGCCGGACCCTGCCCGCACAAGTGCAGGAGGCCCGCAGGCCCGGCGCCGCGCGGCGGGAACAGGCCATCCAGCCGCATCGCCTCGGCCGCCAGCGACGCCCCCCTGAACTGGGCGCTCAGGTACTGCCCAGAGGGGCCCGTGGTCCCGATCTCCTCTACCTCGAACAAGGCGGTCCCGCTGATCCCTCCAGCCGCGTCGAAGGTCGGGAGCTCGAGATTCACACCTCGCCGCCAGTCGGCACCAATCAGGGTCACGGCCTGACGCCACGGACCGTCCACGAGAGGTCCCAGCTGCGCGCCGCCCGCCGGGACGATCGGCCCGCCTGCCACCGCGATCGGCACTCCAGGGATCGCCGGGGCTCCAGGCACCGCACCAGGAGGAGGGCCACCAAGGGGGTCGCCGCCGCCGCCCGCGAGCGCGCCCACCAGCGCGGCTCCCACGCCGCCGGGGGGAGCGCCTCCGCCGCCAGGCACGGCGCCGCCCGCGGGGGGCGCGCCAGCAGCCGCGCCGCCTCCGACCTTCGGCAGGCCGGGCAGCGCCGCCAGGCCAGGCACCACGGGCGCGCCGGCACCGCCGCCCGCGGGCGCGGCCGCCGCAGCGCCGCCGACCGCCGCGGCCGCCGCCAGGCCCGGGGCAACCGGCGGGAAGGCGGCGGCGCCTCCGCCTCTCCCCGCGGCTCCTCGCCCGAGGCCGCCGGCGCCGCGCCCTCGGCCGCGGCCGCGCCCTCGGCCCAAGGCCTTCGCCTTCGCCTTAGCCTTGGCCTTGCCCTTGGCGACGGCCTTCGCCTTCGGCGCCATCGAGCCCCAGGCCGGCGAACGCGGAGAGCAGAGCGCCCAGGAGCCGGGCGGACTCGAGCAGCGCCGCCCTCTCCTCCACGCTGAGGCGGGCGCGCCACGCCGCCTGCCGGATCAGCCCGATGATGTAGCACAGCTCGCAGACCTCCAGGAGGGCTCCGCCCTCGGCCAGGGCCAGCGACTCCCCTCGCCCGAGGGGTCCTGCGCACCAGCCGCAGTAACGCACGGGCGGCGGGCGCGGCACGGTGGCCCCCGGGGCGGCCATGCCCTCCTTGGAGGGCGCGGAACTAAGCCAGAACAGCTGCCATGCAAGCGAATGCGGCCGATGTGACACGCTACCCCCCTGACGCCCACACATCTACCGTAAACGTATACATTGTCACAATATTCAAAAGGGCGACGCGTAACCCAATAACTATACACCGACTTCTCTGCTGGCGGTCGGCTACAGGTGCTCGCTAGTATTAGTCTGCACAGGCTCAAAAAAGGAGGAGTTGAAGACCGACTCCGAGAATCACAATATGGCTTCAGGCCAGCCCGTGGCACAGCTAATGCATTGTTCTTGGCGCGCTGCCGCATTGATGCGGCACTGGAGGATAGAGATGGGTAACTTATGTTACTGCTTCTGGACTGGGCCGAAGCTTTGGCTGTATCAAACGGGATTGTGAAATAACGCTTAAAGCTTAAAGGTAAATTGGAATACATCCCCGGACATGATTCGCATGATCAATGAAATTTATGCCGCCCGCAAATTCGTCGGAAGAGGTGGGGGCGTCAAATATTCGCAAAGGCCCCAGGACGCAGAGATCGCTCAAGGGTGTCCTCTGTCACCATACTTGTTCGTGATCGTCATGCCGGTTCTTCCACAAGCAATGAGCAAGAAATTGAATCCCATCAACCAGTCGACACCCAAGAAACTGTATCTCATCACGAGGGACATACTCTACGCTGACGACGCGCTCTTGGTATCGGAAGATCCAGACACTCTTCAATAGCGTTAACACCACATTGTGAAACATTGGGTGCGCGTCTACTTTATATTTGGGCTGGGAAGGCGAATTTGTTCACTGCCAATACAATGCTCCCAGGACAAAATTGAGAAGGCGTATTGGTGAAGCGAAACGGGCTATCAAACAACTCATTGCTGTCTGGAACCATGCAAACCTATCTTGTCACCGAAAAACTCTCATACTCGGAACTTGCATATCCTCCAAACTGTTGTACGGTATGTTGCTCGCCGCTGACAAGGACAATCTACATGGTTTTCAGGCCAAGTGTTTGCGAAAGATCCATAAAGTCCCGCCGTCCTTTATTTCAAGGGAAGGTAATGCTGAGGTGAGAGATAGGAGTGAGGCTGGGTCTCTCGACGACTTCAGCGCAGAGACAACTCAACTATTATGGAAAACTCGCCCGATATTAGCCACGCACGTTGCCTAGACAAATGGTTTTCCAAGAAGACCAGGCGCGCGAGATTGCGCCCAGAAAATAGAACGTACGTCGCAAACGAGGACGTCCAGAATGCAGTGGGGTCATTATATGCACGCCTGCGCCATGGCAGTGGCGGGTGAAGATCCGGATCGTTTAATGAATGTTCTGAATGGCCCGCCTGCGCACTAGGGATGCTGCCGTGGTGCAGTGTTGCAGATAGGTTTATCTCAGTGTCCTCCTCCTCTCGTCGTTGCGGCCGTCCCCTCCCCCTCTCCCTCCTCCCCCAGGCCCCCCCCTGCATGACGCCCCTTTGCTGATGTAACGTCAACCGCCGGCCGCCGGCGCACTTGCACTCAGCCGTAATGCATTTCCGCATGAGTTTTCATTGCCTCTGCGATTATACGCATTTCTGCCGATGCACCGTCTAGGCGCGGCCTCTTCTGTTCTGTTCTGGTCTGCGCCTCCGCGATCTGAACCCCTCGAAGGCTTTCAAAAGGCTCAAAGGGACCTGCGCCGCCCTACTCTAAGGGCCTCGGAAAGCCTGACAGAGTCTGCGGCGGAAGCTCGCGCAAGTTGTTCGGTAACTTCCTGCAAACCCCGATCGGCCCCAGGGGTGTATTATGGGAGTGGGAGGGGGAAGGGATGCGGAGGGGCATGGGAAGGCCGAGGCAAGAGGAATGGGGCGGGGAGAAGAAATATGGGCGGGGCAGGGGGGAGACGACGAGAGAGAGAGAGAGAGAGATAGAGAAACAGTAAAAACAACTAATCAAACAAGTGACAACGAGAGAGAGAGAGAGAGAAGGCGATACTTATATATTTTCTTACATCTATAAATACATACATGTGTTGTGCTGTGGATCGCTGCCACATAAGCTTCTGAACATATTGCTGAGCAGGCGAATCACATGTTGAGTTATATGCGAATGAAAATATCGACGATGCTCCCCCAGTCAGGGCACTTCCTCTTGGGGGGGCTTTCCTTGTCTGAATCACCCCAAGGCTTCACATCTAAGGCTGTGGGGGCCGCCGAATCATCCAGAACGACTTGGCACTCCATCCGCAAATTGCGGGGCTGAGACTAGGCTCAACATCCGCAAACACCAGAGCGGCCTTTGCTCTAAGCGGCGTGGCTGTCCTGCACCACGCGCCCGCAGACCACGACTGGGGGAGGCAAATGCCGAGGGGGGTCGGTCAATTCAAGATGACCCTATGGGTCCCCTTTGATTGGTGCTTTGCCGATCTGTGAGCCCACCACCCGTTGCCCTGTAGCCCGCTTTTGACGCTCTGACGTGTGAGGCGCAGAATGCACGAGTGCAGCGCGTTGCGAACAGACCGTGCAGAAAAGACAGGCGACCAGAAGGGATTGCCAACATGCTGCAGGCTGCGCGCCTCCATATATCCTTGGCCACTGGCCCTGGAAGCGTCAGGAAGTGCGGTCACTACCTTGCGCCCGTGGCCCACTCGCGGGAGCTGGGCGCGATGCACTATGCGTGCTGGAGTCGTGGCCCATCTTGCACGCTCCCAGATGATGGAAGCAAGCCGTCGCAACATGCGGCAAACCAAATTCTCAAACTCAACGACTTAGCGAACCACATCGGCCGGAATTTGGGCGCTAGCCGACCGAGCCTTGGCCTGAGCATCCGCGATCGCATTGATGAGCATACGACGCGGACTTAAAGACGCCGCAAGACGAGCAAACTTCGCATCGTCATTGGCACAATTGCCGGGCGAGAACAAGCAAAACAAATCACACAAACCAGAAAGCAACTCTAACATTTGCCAGAACTCCCGCCACAAGTAAGCAAGCACTCTGCAACCGAAGGGTGTGCTGACGTCCCCTCTGGAAAGCCTTCTGGTGATTGATGTGGTCTGTGATCTGGAATAATGCAAAGGCGCGCGAAGCCAAGAGTCACCTGGCACAACATGGGATCGGTTGCAAACGGCCCTCTAAATTCATCGGCGCTGTACACTCCTGTGTGAGAGGGCCTTCGTTTCGTCGGACAAAACTCCAACGCCAGACCCATCGGGGCCCCAGGAAGACGAAACCAATCCCTGGGAATAGTATCGCGGCACCAATATAGCGGCCACCGTGCCCTGAGGCACGGTCCTTTGCCTACTCCCTTAAGCCTCAGTCCTCAAACCCGAGGATTATTTCACGGGTGCAGACCCCGAATTGCCAAATCGTCTTGGACCCCTCGCGTTCCCCCCCGCGGCTCCCGGCGTCTTCCCGCATGATTTGTTGCCCCCAGACGGGCCGAGTGGGTCCTAAGAGGCCCCCAAGACGGTCCAAGAGGGCCCCGAATCGCTGATCGGTCCAAGATGCCCAAGCTGGCCTGAAGACGGCGGAAGAGGCGCCCGAACCGCCCAAGGGGGGCCCAAGAGGCCTCCCAAGAGGGCCCCAAGAGGTAATCATCTTTAAATTCGCTTTGGGGAAATACATCTGTGACATGTGCGATGTGTCGGCCTCGCGCGGCGTTCAATACGTTCCAAGATGCCGCCAAGATCGCCCCAAGACGGCGCAGCAGGGCACTGCTTTTCCAATGTCGACTCCTGAATGTCTGGCTAACGCATACACCACCGTAGCCGCATCCAGGATTGGAAGTCCCGAGAACCCTTGCAGGGCCCTGCGTATCACTGGGTGGGACCAAAGCGCCAGTGTTTATCGCCACTCCTGCGCTCGTATGGGGGAAGCGACGAAAAAGGCCCATTTGGGGAGGGTCCGAACACTCATCGAATGCCGCAAACGTGCAATTCCAGACGTGAGCGTATACACACAAACTATTTTCCAAAGGCATACTGAACGCTCGGGGCACCACGCTGGCGGTGGGGCCCCGTCCACATATTTGAGCAACGGTGCTAACACCGAGTCGTTCCCGTTCATACCAGTATCGAACTGGTTGGCCGGGCTTCTGCCAGCGGACCCGCCGCCGCTCCACATGCCGAAACCCTACAGGCCGCCACGCTGATTCTGGGCAGGCTGCGCTGTCCGGTGGAAAGGGACGAGGAAGGGAGAAGCAGGCAGACGACGACGAACGCCCAGGCGGGACGCCAAGGCCGGCGGGGCGGGCGGGCAGGCAGAAGACAGGCTAGGCGGAGACAGCAGGCAGGGAGCAGGAGGAAAGGAAAGGGAGGGAAGCGACGAGCAGAGGACGAGGAGGAGGAGCAGGAGGAGGAGGAGGAGGAGGAGGAGGAGGAGGAGGAGGAACAGGAGGAGGAGGAGGAGGAGGAGGAGGAGGAGGAGGAGGAAGAGGAGGAGGAGGAGGAGGAGGAGGAGGAGGAGGAATGGGCGGAATGGGCGGCGAGGCGGGTCAGCAGCGGCAGGCGCACGCAGCCCGAGGAGAAGATTACGAGGCCAGGGGAGGGCCAGCAGCAGCAGCGGGAGCAAGCACGGGGGGTCCCAGGTCGGCCTCGAACCTTCGGACCTCCTTCGTGCTGAGCTCTCCCGGATCTGCATGGTGCTCACTCTCCCTGGGATGCCTGCCCTGTCGCAGGCGGTTCCTACGGGCCTTAGCATTCTTATCTGCAGGTGACAACTTACAGATTTCGGCCAAGCCCCGCAACGTGAGCGACGAGAAACTCCCGCAGTTAAAACAGAAAACAAACGGGCCCGTCTTCCAGAGTGCATGGCCTCGGATCTGGTTCCGGTTGCCTGTGGTGGAGGAGGAGGTCGGAGGAGGAGGGGGGACCAAGCCTCCTGGCCTCCTACACACCGTGCGACCCAGGCACTCCTGGAAACGGAATTTGGCGCGTTCCTTCCTCGCGGTGGCTTTGCGTCCGCATCTGAGGCAGGAGACTGCAGGCCCTGAGAAACTACCCAGGTGGGGCCTCTGCGGGCAGCGCGGGGCCTTCTTCTGGGGGCCAACGCTCCTCCTCCTCCTCCTCCTCCTCTCCCTCTCCTCCTGGCAGGGGGGGGGGTAGTGTCGGCAAAAAACCCCGTCCTAACTGTAAGATCGGCCACGAAATTCAAAACTGCCTGAACGTCTGTATCTCGTTGCTTGTACGTCATGCTAGTGCCTGCAGGTCGAGGGGCGAGGTCAGCCCTTTCACGGGCCGCTTCGTCCGCCTCCGTATTTCCACGCGCCAGGAAACTCACTTTAGGGTCATCCGAATCCAGGTGCTGCGAAGAATGCGATTTGATTTTTTACGGTAGTAAGTCCTACCAGGCCAGGAAACTTATCATCGAGCACGTTCCAAATCCGAGTCCAAACGTCGGCATGCGAGCGAACTCCTTTGGTGCACCAGGCTCGGCCTCTTCGGAGGCCTCGAAACAAAGTGTCGTTATCGATTCCTACAGTGAGCGGCGGAATGGCGAACTGCAGCATGTGCGCGAAGCCTAGCAACTCACGCCGCAGGACAGAGAGGGCTGATCGCACTCCAGTAGGGCATCCACATTGCGAGAACTCGACGACGAACGGCGACTCTCTCACGAACGAGAAACCCCAACCAGCACTCTTGCATCCTGGATGCCCTGCCCCCGATCCGTCGGAGAAGGCGAAGACACTGCACAGGCCTGGCTCTCCTGTTCGGGTTTGAAACCGCTCAATCTGTAAATCAGAAGTGGGACCCGCCACTGGGTGATCTACGATGCCTCTGGCAAAAAGTGGCACTCCCTCCGTGGCCCTGGTGGCCCTGTGAATGATCTCGGCGTTGTCGTCGGCAATCTCTCTGCGCTGCTGGTCGAGCGCACTGAACCTGCAGAACCTGTGCTGCTGGGTGCCGATCTCATTGCCACATGCTTGGCATTCTCGTACGTCTGTCTCTCCGCGACGCCATCGAACATCTTGTGCGCAGAAGGCGGCGCGCAGGTGACTCTCGATTGCGCCTCTTCTCCTCTGGCAAAGACGTTGAGCCTTCTGGCGAAGCAGGGCGCGTACTGGTTCCAGAAAAGGTAGTGCAACTCCAGGTAGCTCGTGCTTCTCGGCCCATCCTCCATCGCGACCTGCTCGAACCTGGCGAGCGCGTTCGCCTTGATCGTGGAGGGTGGTGCGATCCGCATGTTCAGCTGCCCCTGGCGGTGCGTCATGATTATGTGCGGTGCTGGCCAGGTCCATCCCAGCCTGTCCAAGGGCCCGTGGAGCGCGGTGGCTGGGCCCCTGACCTGCTTCCAGTCGAACTTGCGGTGGGGGGCCTGCCTAGCTGCTGCTAGGCGCGCTGCCCTGCGCCAGCCCGCTTCGAGCTTGGCGCATTCGTCGCCTGAGTCCCAGGCGACAGCGGCCCACTTGCTCATCGGGGCGAGGGTGGCCTGCGCAATCGGGTCTGCCGAGTGAAGCCAAAGCCGCAAGGCCCCGTCCTTGCCCATGGGCTCGCTGCCGAGGCCGCTGGGCATGAGGATGCGGGCTGTGTTGAGAATCGTGGTGGGGGCCCCCGAACTGACCGAGGCGTAGAACATGCTGGTCAGTAGACCATTCTTGACCACTGCCCTGGTGGTAGCGCCGCTGGCCTTGAGGCTGAGCAGCTTCCTTTTCCTGCCCCGGGCTTTGCGGATCCTCGAGTCAGCCTTCCGTCGTGTTATCCCCCCCCCCCCCGCGGCGTCCACTCCGAGCTGCTGGCCCGGGGCCTTGATCTGGTAGCCGAAGTAGTTGGCCATTGCCTTGCACGTGCGGCCCAGCTCCTTGTCGGCTGTGGTGAAATAGCTCTTGCCTGGCTTGGTCCCGCGCATGCGCGAGATGGGTATGCCGAGGTTCCCTTCGACCTGGTTGATGTAGTACTGGGTGCTAGCGTATATGTCCCCACGTACTTCTTGGCGTCCTCCATCTCGCTGCATCTGATGGTCGTCAACAAATGAAACTTCTCGTGCAAGTGGCCATTGTAGACGGATCTTGTCACATACTGGAATGATGACCATCTTCAGTGCCCTGGTGCCTCCACAGGAGCCCGCAATAACCGCCGAGTAGGTGACTGTGCAGACTCTAGACACGATACGCTGGTACATGATCCATCGGGGCCCTGTGCACATGTATATGAACAGGTGTATCATCTGGCGCGGGAAATCAAGACCGGGGCTGGTGTCCCACAGGAGGTAGGCGCTGATATGCTCGAAGGCCTTCTCCAGGTCGGGCACCGCGCCGAGGGACACTACATTGTCTGGTAGGCCTTCCTCTGCTAAGGCCTGGATCCACATGGCATTCTCTGCTCCTCCACCTCTTGCTGTCCAATCGTAGTCCCGCGCCATGTTTGCTTCCCATTGGATGTAGATGTCCGCATGCAGCCTCTCGGTAATTCGCATGGCGGTGGTCATTGGTCCAATGGGCCTAGTGTCAGTAGCATTCTTGTCCAGGAGGAAATAGAGGGTATGCTGCAAGCTGGTCGGCCAGTGGATGTGTTGGCTGATGTACATGACAAGGTTGCACATGAACTGCGTGCCTTTGTCGGACAGCTCGCTCAGCCATCTGGGATGTATCTGGTCCGCCCCATACCCCCGTAGACGCCTTGAGTGTCCTGCAGCCTGTCTTGAAGGTCTGGGGGGTGACGTGGACCAGCGGGCGATCGTAGGTACAAGTATCCCATGGGCGGGGTGGTTCGCCGCGGCTGGTCTCGTGATGGGACGTCCACAGGCGATGCCATACTGCAGCGCGTTGCTCAGTTCTCGTCTGCAGGTCTGCCAGGTCGAGGTTGCTGATGCCTGCGTTGACCTGCGCCGTGGTAGCGTATGGCGTGGGCGGCGCCTTCGCCCACTTGCTGATGCGATGAATGAGCCCTGCTGAGCCCTTGGAGGCCTGCTTGAGGCGCTCTCTCCATTCCTTGCCGCGCTGCGAGGCGATGCGCTGCTCGATCTTGTGAGCCGCGGCGCTGGCGTACTGGTGCACAGCGCGCATTTCCATTTGCAGGTCCATGTTCTGCGCGATGTTGTTCTCCAGCGCCAGTCGATCACGTGCTGGTGCAGGCCTGCGTTGGGCATGTGCTTCCATTGGCTGTGGCCATGTTTGCTCTGCCTGGCCAGGCTCCTCCAGTGGGGCATGAGGATGTCGTAGCTGCCTCCACGCTTGTTGGCGCTGCGGTGGAGGAGCGCAATGTCGCCGAGCAGCTTGGTGTACCATCTCCACGCTCTCGAAGTAGGGTTCCACCTAGGTCTTGCATGGGCCTCGGGTCCCGCGGCGGTGACCGCGATAAGCTTTGGCGCTCTGCCACGGCCCTTGTACATGTATCTCTGGTCGTGGGGAATATGATGCAGGTGGCAGAGCTCGGCTTCCATGCTGGCGCTGGTCTCCTGCCAGATTCTGTCCGCGTCGTCGGGGTGCAGACGCATGCCGTGGTCAAGCTGTGGCCACTGGACCTCAATGGGGTCAGGCCTGTCCTCCGCCAGCGGTGCCTCTGCTGGGAAGGGCTTGGTCTCCCGGGGAATGCGTACCTGCGCCTTGCGGAAGGACCCTCGAAGAGTGAGGAACAACGGCGTGTGCGGCGGCACGCTGACCTTGGTGCATAACTGCGGGGGGCCGAAGGCGGGGGCAATGCGCTGGCCCACTGCGTAGTAGTCTTGCTCGCAATGCCCTGTAGAATGCTGACAGGTAGGGGTCGCAGTTGCCAGTGTGGCTCCGCCGATCTCGTCAATCCAATTGCTGTTGGCCAGCTCACTCGGTAGCATGTTGAAGTCGCCTTGGAGGGCCCAGGGGATGCTGAAGCGGTGGGTGATGTCGGCGATCCGATCAATCAGGCCGAGGTTCCTGATGGCGAGGCCCTCCGAGACCCACATGTACACACTGATGGGCATCATGCCCCCCTTGCCTCCAATGGGTGCCCAGGCCGCGCGCAGGCGCCCTGGTGATCCAGGTGGCGGTGGTCGAAGTCCTTGTATCCTGCCAGCGGCGCCAAGCCAATGGCTGAGGGCACTGCAATATAATATATATATATATATTATATATATATTATATATATATATATATATATGCCCCTGCGCTAGGCCCTCCGTGTGGCCCAGGGGCAGATCTGGTCATGGCCAGGGTGATGCCTCGCTTCTTGGTGGGGGCGAGGATCTTGGGTATCCATTGGTTGCTCAGCTGATGTTCTTGTCCAAGGAGGGCCCAGGCCTGGCCGCCGCACAGGGGGTCGAGCAGCGTACTGGCCGCGCTCCATGTAGAACAGTTGGCGCCGTGGACTCTAACTCCAGCCTTGGATGCCCCTCCTTTGCCACGTTTGGGCTGGTTTGGCCGCGGGCCTGCCCTTCTGGCGATGCCGTCGTGGGAGTTGCTCACGGCGAGGTCCGTGACGTCCATGGGGTGCTGAACGTCGTGGCTGTCCTGGTCGATGTTGTAGTTCGGGTTGGTGCCCTCTACGTCGCAGTCGCCAGAAGCCGCGACCCCTGGGGGCCAGGGGTCCGCTTCCCCCCTGCAGGCGGAAGGTTCCACTTTCGCCTTGCAGAGCCGTGGTGCATGTCGTTGATGCCAGCGCAGGTGCCCATCCTGTCGTTGAACTCGGTGTCTGCCCCCAGAAAAGTACGTGAAATGGATCCCGCGTCGCCTCGGACTGAGCCGCTATGCCGCGAGACGACGCTGACAGATCATCCTGGTGCGGGGTGGGGACGGTCGGCGCGCCCGCCTCCATCCTCCGTAGAGTGGGCGCGACAGCGCGGGTTCCACCCCGCCGCCCCCCCTGGGAGACGCAGGGAGTACCCGTCCTCCCCCTCTCCCCCGCCGTGGCCAGCGGTGGTTTGACTCCTGAGTGGGCTCGAGGTGGAGGTGCCTCTTCGTGATCCGCGGCCCCGCACAAGACGGGCTCGTCGTCCGAGAGAAAGTCGATGTCTGAGGTGGCTGCTGCACCCGAGCCCCCACCCAACTGGCAGAGGACAGGCGCTGGACACTCGGGCTGCCTGCTGTGACACATGTCGCTCAACCTTCAGCGAGCCCTCGGCAAGGTCCTGCGCTCCGCAGGGCACCAAGCCTTCCGCTCCAGGCTGCTCCTGGGCTCGCTGGTTGGGCGCGCGCTCCCCCCTGGCCCGCGCGGGCTGGGGCCCGCGGCCAGGTGCTGGCTGCAGCAGCGTGCGAGGGGCGTCGTCTGCTCTGCGCCCTCGAAGATAGGGCCGTCCACCAGGCGGCAGCGCGCCCTGGAGGGCCCCCTGGCCATGCTGGGGGGCAGTGCTCGAACCGCGGACGGCATCGGCCACCCGCCCGTCGGCGGCGTCGGCGGTGAGCTGGGTGCTGCGGGAGGCGTCGACCACCCGCGCGTCCGCGGCAGCCCGCGCGCACCCTATGCCGCCCCCTCCGCGGTGGTCGGGGGCTGCTCCATCTCCACCGCCTCGCAGGCGGCGGCTCTGCTGAGACGCGTTGACCGAGGGCTGCGCGGGGCCCTGAACCTCTCGTGCAACAACCTCGGCACAGAAAGCGGGGCCATGAGCGATGGCCCCGCTGAGCAGCTCCTCTGGGCTCGAACCGTGGACGGCGTCGGCCGCCCGCCCGTCGGCGGCGTCCGCGGTGAGGTGGGCGCCGCCCAGGTCGATGCTCTCAACGTCGTTCTCGGCGGACGCCGCGACCGCTCGGGGGCCAAGGGTCCGCGCCCCCTCTGCTGGCGGCCCCCTCGGCCCACGCCTCGCAGAGCCTCGCTGTATGTCGTAGATGTCAACGCAGGTGTCCATCCTGTCGTTGAACTCCGTGTCTGTCTCTGGGTCGGAGTCGCCTGCCGCCCAGGTCCCTGTCTTGATAATGATCGTGTCCCCGAGAGTGCCTATTCTCTTCGGGGATGTGCCGTCAACGAATCTGGCACTCGATTCTGGTCCGTCTTCTCTGGGCCAGGAGGAGGAGGAGGAGGAGGAGGAGGAGGAGGAGGAGGAGGAAAAGTGGGGGGAAGGGAGGAGGACAAGGGGAAGAGAAAGCAGCGACCGCAAGCAGACAGGCCGGGCCAAGGGCCGGAAGAGCAGAGCCATCCGCGACGGGGCCACGGACGGACCTCGCGGCGGCGACCCGAGCGGGGTGGCCGCCCGGGCCCAGCGCGACGCGGCTTGGTGGGGATCGCCCTCTGCGGGATCCATCCACCGCCCCGCCGAGGAAGGGCCGGGCGGCGCGTGGGAGGGTCGCCAGCGCGACGCTGGTGAAAGGGCGCGGGGGGCGCCCGCGCTGCCCGGCGAGGGGGGGGGGGGCGGGGGGCGCTAGACAGCGCCAAGGGCACTCACGCGGCGTCTGCCGTGGCCGCGGCCAGGCGGGCTGCTGCCCCCCCCGCCCCTCCAGACTAGGTCTGGAGGCGTCGCAACACCGCCCGCGCGTTCTCCCTGTGCAGGGAGACGGAAAGTCGCTGGGCGTGTTGGTCCGCAACCAGTGCGGCGTCTTCCCCGGCGGCGTCAGCCACCCGCTTGGCCAGGACCCCGAAGGCCCGGCGTGCCTCGCGGAAGGTGAAGCCCTGTGCCGCGCAGAGCCGCGCGGTGTCCTGGTGCTGCCTGTGGAACTCCTCGTACCGCTCCGTCGCTGCGCTCGACGAAACGACTGACGCGGCGAGGAGATCGGCGCGCAACCCTGACGTGGCGGCAAAGTCCCAGGCGGCCGCCGTGCCGTTGCGCCACCGCGGCAGGCAGACGTCGGCAAGGCGGCGGCCGTTGTCGTCCACTTGGGTCCCGCCCGGCTCGCCCCTGGGGGTGGCCTCCCCGGCGGGGCGCGGGGCCCCGGGCGCTCCAACTCCGCCCTGGCGTGGCCGGCGGCCAGGGCGTCAAAGAAGGCCTGGTTGCGCAAGGCGTTGTGGCGTTTGGTCTGGTCGGCGCGGTAAGCGCAGACCAGTGCGTGGTCGTAGAAGACGTCCATCACCTTGCACAAGCTGTGCAAAAGCACTCCTCTTGCAGGAGCTGGATTCGCAACCGCCTCTGCAGGCCGACCTGCATGAGGCCGCGCGGGAAGGCGGTGCCGGTGGCCTCGCAGGGCGGCGCCTGGAGCCACGCGGCCGCGCCCGGGGTCGTGTGCCTTGCCGGCCAGGGTGGAGCCCGCCAGACGCCCGTCGAGCGAGGCGCTGTCCACCGCGTCGGGAGAGGGCCTTCTGGTTGCCGTGCTGCGCGTGGTCGAACACCACCCGGTCGGGGTCCCGCACGCATGCGGTGCTAACATAGTAATCAGCAGACTCGGCACGTGCGGATGGTCCTTGTGGCGCCACGCACGAATGGTGGACTCGAGACTGTTCGCTAAGTACTGAGTGCATCATCTCTGCGGCACTTTTGGCGGTGGCCGTACGGTACTAGACAAAACGTATCATGACCCGCTCCTGCTGTTCCACTAACCGGGGTCCGTGAGCCTCGTGCGGGGTGGAACCCAGACAAAGGGGTTCGGCGGCAGAAACGAGAAGGAAGACAGGCCCCACTGGAGAAAACTTCATGCTTCCGTTTGCACAGCCCGCCAAACGATCTCTTGACCCGCCAGGGGGTAATTCAGGCGGAGGGCGTGGATCGTCGCTTCGAAGCAGTCCCAATGCCCCATATTGGTCGTGTAGATGTTCACCCGTCATTCTGGAGCCCCATCAGGACACTGCCGAACGATGCGAGAAGCGCCCCCGACTCCGAACACGTCCACGATGAATGTCGATCTTGACTGCTTGTGAGGGAGAAGAGCAAGGGGTAGAAGAAACACTGCTGCACACCTGGTACTTGTTCGGGCAGGTCAACACGTGAGTGGCGGCCTCCCCGAAAGTGAAAGCGACTGAACCTCAAGATCCCGTTGTTCCATTACAGAGCCGGCGATGCTAGTTGGCCGCTTCGGCGGACCGCCGTACACTCCGCTTTGAGCGCGGCCTGGGCGAAATGCGCGCCCATAGGCAAGCTTGAGAGGCAAACGCCAACATATGTTCCTGGAGAAGCCCGCCAGAACATGCTCGCGGGAGGGGTGGGAGAGCAAGCGAGAGTGGAGAGAGAAAGAGAGAGAAAGAGAGAGAGAAACATACATACATACATACATGCATACATACATACATACATACATATAGATAAAAGAGAGGGAGAGAGAGAGAGAGAGAGAGAAACAGAAAAAGAGAGAGAGAGAGAGAGAGAGAGAGAGAGAAGAGAAAGGGATGGGTGGGGGGCGATGGGATGCGGGGGGCGCAGATTTTGGAGCTGAGGAGACCAGTCAGAGGTAAGGGGGTGCGCGCCCTACCGTCAAGATAATTTGCAGAAGCGAATCATGTGTACCGTACAGGCTTCGCGGGTGCTCAATTTGTGGGAATGGGAGTGAGATGGAGGAGGGGGAGGGCGGAGGGGGAGTTCGGAGGAGAAGTGGGAGGGGAGAGGACGGGACGCCCCTCCCTCCCATCCCCCATGCCCACACGCACGCACAATGCGTAAGCTCAGTGGCGCTTGGCGTGGTCGTTCTTCGGCTTGCGTTCGTCTTCGGAGCTGTCGCTGTCGCTGTCGCCCTGCTTACCTGCCCAGGTCAATCGTGGAGGAAAGGGAAGGACGACGGAGGAGGAAGAGGAGGAGGGAGGAGGAGGGGGAGGAGGAGGAGGAGGAGGAGGAGGAGGAGGAGGAGGAGGCTGTAGGCAGGAGGAGGCAAAACGCACACACTGCAGGAGGAAGAGAAGGGAGGAAACTTACGTTGGAGGACGCATGGGGGGCGGCACCCTGAATTTCTGGCCAATCCCCATCCAAGACAGCATTGCCGCGTGGCATTGATTGGACAGAGTGGGAGAAGCAAAAGACGGAGTGTGGGAAAGGGGGAACAGGGTAAAAATGAATGACTGGGAGGAGGGGGGGGAATTTGGTTAGTTCGGGATGCAGGAGTTAGGAATTTGTTCGGCTGGATCCCAGCAGGGCCACGACATGTGCAACAATACTCGAGGCATGCCGTCTGCCTCCCTGCAAAGCTGCAGCCATAACCTCGCCAGCCGCCACCCCTGTTTTGATCAACTAGCGCGTCTGCCTACATGATGTACGGCCGGGCGTACCTGCATGTGCCCACTGTGGCAATCTGCAACGAAACAACGCGTACTACTGCCCCCGTGCCTTTGACCGCTTTTTTAATACCCGATGGGCCCCTTGCGGGGGCTGCGGAGCTTGATTTTCAGCAGCTGCACAGCTGAGTTATCACCAGCGCAACAAGGCAAGTCGCAGCAATGCGAGATATTTAAGTTAACAGCCTGGATCCCGTTATTTGCCAATCATCAACTCAATTTCTCCGGAGGGGACATCTAAATTTGCAAAGAGCGCGAGCGACAATCACGGCCCGAAAACACAACTTCCACACCTCCCGGCCGCATTTCCTTAACCCATGAACGTGGCCTGTACGGGTTACGAAAGATCCGTGCTCCAGAGGGCACGACCCTTCGCAAGAGAGATGGGCCCGCGACTTGGAGGCCAAGATCACCAGAAACAATGGATCTACACCTCCGAAACCAAGACCCAAAGACACGAATGAATCATAGTGTGTCTTATTCGAGGCGACGGTTCATGGCTAAACAAATGTATCCGCACCGTCGAGGTCAATATTCATCGGAAACGCGATGGATCCGCTGTCCGAATCCGCTGGCCCTCCAGCCAGCCTTCCAACCAGGCAGCAAGTCTGCCAACCAGCCCTGCAACCAACCAAATGGTTAGCCAACCAACATGCCAACGACCAGCCGTGTTGCCAGCCTGCCAGCCAATCAACCAAAACCAACGCAAGGTACCCAGCCATGCAAGCAAGTAGAGGGGGGTGGGTGGGGCAGCAGAGGGCGAATCCCTGCCATGTATTCCCCAAACAAGGCTAGGCCTATTTGTCTGACGGTTGTTACATTGGTGGCAAGTGCCTCTGGGTCAAGGTATTCGCCAAGTGGCCGCCTTCGGACGCGCCGTTGCTGCCAATTGCGCTGGAGGGCGCTTCTCCTATTCCTAAAGTACTGCGAGGCAAGTGGGCGTTCTGTGGCACGTGTGTCTGTTTGTACGCTATGATCCACATCGTTTGAAGCAAAAGGCGGTGACGTTACTTTCTACCAGCACAGAACTCCGCCGCGTCTGGCTGTGCTAACTACGGAGCATGCGCTGACAATATGATGAAAGGGGGAATCCACATGTAAACTTTCGCGGAGTATGTGCGCATGTATTCCTCGCGCGCGTAAAACATACCCGTGTAACCATGATGTTGACCAGATGGTCACAAGTATATTGATTGCTTCCGAACAGGTTTCGTGAGAGCATGGGACACTACGCATAATATTCCATACGTGATATCCGCACATCAGTTGTTGAAGGAAGGGGGCCTACACATGTGATATCCCCGTGGGGCTGCGCGTACAAACACCAGGCAGGGGGAATGTAGGCGTACGTGCGTGCTGGGAACAATTCACACAGACACGCACCTACACATATGTATGTGTTCCGCTGCGGAAAAGCATGTGCACATGTATTATCATGTTGGCGGATGTGCAGAACATCTCATATATCCGCCGGAAGACAGCAAATACATACTTTCACATAGCGGGACAGCGCGACCTTGACCGCGACAGAAATAGAGCCGCACATAAAGCACCTCCTTATCTCCTCCTTCGTCATTATCATCGTACTCTTCGTCGTCCACATTTTGATTTTGCGCCTCCTCCTTGACCTCCTCCACTTCTTCTTGCGCTTGCAGCAGCCTTCCAGCAGAGGGAAGATGAAGAGCAACATCTTCAGCGAGATAGGGATCACGATGATGGAGATAGCTTAGATTACGCGTCGCTCCGCTAGCTGGGGCGGGAGACTTTCGGGAGCGGCCAAGAGGGGGGTGTCCAAGAGGGGGGGGGTGCAAATCATGACCGGCGGCACGTGCGCGGCCCAGCGGGGAGGCCAGGGACGTAATGAAATAAGAAGAGGCGCCATGAAATCTGGGGAAATATCATGGCCCCCGCCATGATATCCCCCCCCTCTAGTCATCACCCCCCTTTTCCGCCCCCGAGATTGGGAAATGCTAGAGACGTTGTCGCCCGGGGGCAGGAGCATGTATGGAGTGTAGCGCCGAAGCGTGATGAACCAGAACCGGCGGAACGTCACGTTATGCCAAAGTTCCTGATCGTACGTGGAGGGGCCCCAAAGTGCTAATGGTTATCGTGATGACCAGCAGCAGGACGACCGCGAGGGGGAGGACGATGATGACAAGCATGATGCCCAGCAGGGTACTGATGACGATCACCGCTCGAAGCACGGTTGTGATCATATATGGTAGAGTTGCGCTTGAAGTCCGTATGCGGAAAGCTACTTGCACATATGATTGTTGCATGCAGGGCACATGGGAACCCTAAGCGGAGGATGTTCTCAACATGCGTGGAAACATGCTGTGGGAACTCGCGCGCCGACACCTACACGCACATGCATATGCGTGCTTACAATCTGTGGGAAAAGATCCACCGACCCTGTGTCGGCGTGTGGAAGAGGCTGTTCGGTTCTTCTCTGCTCCCTCTAAGGCTGTTCTGACTGATGGGTCAGAAACAACGCCTCTCCCAGAAAACCCGCGACTCCCGCGGTTCCACCAAATTTCAGAAAGACGTCGAAGGAAACCCCTTCATGTCCACCCCGTCCCGCCAGGGCAAGTCCCGGCCCCAGCCGGCTGGCCACGGCCTTGCCCCGGCCGTGGCCGGGCTCTGGCCCTGACCCGGCCCTCGGCCCCGGCTCCTGCTCCGGTCCCAGTTCCAACCCAGGCCCCTGCCCAAAAACCCGCGAATCCCCCGGTTCCACCACATTCCATGCCTGGCCCCGGCCCTGGCCAGGCTCCTGCCCTGACCCCGGCCTCCGGCCCCAGCTCCAGCCCCGGTCCCGGTTCCAGCCCCGGCCTTCCCCAGGAAACCCGCGAATCCCGCCCTGGCCCCCGGCCTTGGCCCCGGCCCCTGGCCCTGGCTCTCCGATCCCGCCGGCCCTCGCCCCCGGTCCCGGCCGCAGCTGGCGTGGGCCCCGCGGTCCCGGCCCCGGGTTCCCGCTTCGAATCCCTGTCCTGGCTCCGATCCCCGGACCCCGCCCAAGCTCCAGCCCCGACCCCGCTCCCAAGTCCGGCCCCGGCCCCGCTCGCCGATCCCGCCGATTCTGGCCCCGGGCCCCGACCCAGTCCCGACCCCGGCCCCGGCCGTTTCTTAGCCCCGGCCCCGGCTCCGACCGCAGCTGGTCCCAGCCCTGGCCCCGGCCCCAGCCCAGCAACCGGCTTCAGTTCTGGCCCTGGCCGGCCGCCCCCAGTTCCGGCCCTGGCCCGAGTCCCAGCCCCGGCCCCGGCCCTGGCCCTGGCCTTGGCCCCCAGTCCCAGCCGGCCCTGGCTCATGCACCCCGGACCCAGTCCCTGCCTCGGCCCCGGCCCTGGCCCTGGCTCTGGCCCTGGCTTTGGCCCTGGCCCCGACCCCGGCCCCGGCCCTGGCCCTGGCTCCCGGCCCGCTCCGGCCCCGGCCCCAGCCCACGTGCCCTCTTCAGCGCCCTCCAAATCTGCACTCCGTGGCCTCCCAGGTGCCCAAGATGCCAAACCTAGCTTCAAAACAGCGAGCGAAGCCTGGAAGTCGCCCCAGGAGGGCTCCAAGACGCCATGAATGGTCCTGATAGGCAACTGGCGTCGGTCAACATCGTCAACATCCTCGCCATTATCTTCCTCCTTCTCCCCCTCATGATCGCCACGCTCTACTCGCCCCTGCCCTTCCTTCGCGCCCCCACATCCACCTGTAAATGCGACCCTGCTTGCCTCACTCTCCTCAGATTCATTCCCCCGTTTGTGCTCCTACTCCTCCTCATCCACCACCTCTTCCTCCTGTCCCCCTCCTCATCTTCCTCTCCATGCCCCGCGCCTTCCTCCCCAACCTCAGGGTCGGCGGCACGGGCCGTAAGGCCTTCGCAATGTGCTCATGCACCTTTTGATGGCATATACAAGTGACATACGCGTAGCACCCTTATTTCCAGAGCGGCGGCGCGGCCAGGTGTAGCCCCCAAGTGTAGCCCCCATGTGTCGCGACCATCTGTCGCAACCAAGTGTAGCCCGCTCCCACATGTAGCTCCCAAGTGTCGCCCCACACATGTGGCCCCCATGTGTCGCCCCCAAAGGCTGACCCGTCTATCCAACCGCGCGCGCGAGCAGGGAGAAGGTAAGACCGTACGGGCCCCCCTCACTCTGATCTAATGAAAAGCGTCACTCAACACACACACACCAAAGATGAAACACTCAGAAGCCTTACAAACCATTCGCGTGCGCACGATTCTGAAATAGAAGTGGAATGCAACCGCCAACGGCGCAATCGATAACAAAAGCTCACTCCCGATCCTCTCCCTCTTCATTCTCTTCTTGCTCCTCGTCATCCGCCTTCAGCTGCGCCTGTTCCTCCGACCCCATGGTTTACCTCTTCTTGCTTCTGCTGTTTCTCGTCCAGCAGGAGGAGCATAGCATGAAGACCAGCATCAGGACAAGGGGTGATGATGACGAGGAACACTTGTTTCGAAAAAGGAATTGGT